CCCTGTTCAGACCTTGGGCATGGCTGGTGCCACGGTCCCCTCTGGTGCCACGGTCCCCTCTGGTGCCACGGTCCCCTCTGGTGCCATGGTCCCTTCTGGTGTCACGGTCCCCTCTGGTGCCACCATCCCCTCTGGTGCCACAGTTCCCTGCTGGCTCGTGGCGTGTCCCTGCTGCTGGAGGAGTCCTGCTCGTGCTGCTGCCGGCGTTCAACAAGGCCAGTGCTGCTCCCCAGCCAAAGAGGGACTAAAGTCACTGCTTTTGGCAGCTCATTGGAACGAGTTCAACACTTCCTCATCTCTATCACAGATAAAAACCCACATACTCCTAAAACGCACATACCAGCATTATAAACTCACCTCATCTACAGAGGTGAGGAGGCCTGGGCAAACAGAAGGTCGGCTTTCAAGCACATTTTTAACTTAGTGGAAGCACTCAGCTGTTCACAAGCCTTATTTGCCAGACTGGATTGCGTGATGCTCTTCTTTTGCTCATGTTAAAGAGGAGCCAGGGAGAAATTAGCTAAGAAACCAGAAACATTTGAGGCTCAGGTCTGGCACACAAATAGAGCAGGGTGGCACCTGCCCGCTTTTCCCGCATCCCTTTTCCTGCTGGACAAAGGCGGATGCAGCTCTGCTGGGGGCACCATGGAAAGGGTTCTGATCTGTTCTCCCTTCTAGATTGAGATCAGAACATGGATTATCTGGAAGCCCTGGCACATGGCAGTTTGAGATCCATGGAGAATGCTGGAGGCAAGTTCTCAGTGTCCCTTTCCACACAGAACAATCAGTGTCAATGTGGCAAGGGCTCACTCACATCCATTGCCTCCTGAAGATGCCACCTCCTGTAATGGTTAACAGTTCTTATTGTTGTGGTGTGTTTTGTTTGAATGGTTTCTCCCATTATTCCCCTAAGTCATTGGTTTGCTCCTAGTTTGTATCCTCCTACCCACCTATCAAATCCTGCCTCAAGCCCACCCCTTGTTTTCGAATGTTCCCCATCTGTCATTACACCCATTTGTCAGTCTTCCCTTAGGCCAGCCTCCTACCTGAACCACCCCTCTGGAAATCCCCTGATCTCCAATGCCCCATTGGCCCATGTGACCCACTCTGCTCCCCTTGTTTCCCCTCTTGTATTGTTGAATGGAACCTTCCACTCCTCCCACAGCTTCTTCCTATTGGTTAAAATTTTGTACCCTCCCTCTGGCCTCCCCCATATAAAAACCCCACACACAGTTGTGTTCTCAGTCTTCAGTCCCTGGACCCTGCAGTGGAGTAAAAGCCTTTGGAACCCATACTGGAGGTCTCCTCCTCATCCTTGTCTCCACCATGTGCCTACCAATATCCTTGTGCCGTGGAGCATTTGCTCTAAGCCGCACCTTGGGTCACCCCGCTGCCGAGTGTCACGATCCCCTAACACAAGTGGGAGTCGTGAGAGGTTCGTTTGAGCTCAGAGTGCAAAAAGGACACCAGGGGATTTCAGTTTAAATCACAACAGCAATAATGCACCTTTATTTTAGTGCCAGCAACATGGGTTGTGTGATAGATGAGAGGGGGAGAGAAAGAGGGAGAGAGGGAAAGAGGGAGAGAGGGGTAAAGAGCCAACGTAAAGAGAGAAAAGAGGTGGTTATAGTTACCAACAGACGAGACGGGGTCACTGGTGTCTTCTTCCATGGGGAGATCTCTCTCGAAGAAAGTAACTTGGAAAAGTCACTTTTACAGTCTGTTTCAAAGCAAGGGGCAGCTGGCCAAGAGGTGGGGAAATTCCCAGGCTATTGTGATGAGACCCCTTGCTCTGGGAAGCAGGTGTAAGGTACAGAACAGGCCGCTCCTTACAAGTCCCTGCTCAGCAGCAGGAATGAAGGCAGTGTACCTTGACAGCACAACAAGCACACCTGCAAACCATCACCTGGCAAGCTTCCACCTCAACCAGGCCAGAACCCCTGCACAAATTCCCTTGGGGTCTTCAGGGTCTTGGTCTCTGTTCTTGTGATGGTTGTGAGGCAGATGAGGGAAACTTCAGACTGTCTCTTACACCCTAGTAACCCCAAATGACACCAATGAACCCAAATTACCACAAATAACCCCAAATTACTCTAAAGGACCCCTCTGACCCCTCACCTGACCCCAAATTACCCAAATGACCCCACAGCTGACCCCACAGGGCACGGACATTTACCCCTTGCTGAACTTGGTCCTAAACAACCCTGAATCCTTCAAAAATCCCCAAATGTTTGACCGTGGGAACTTCCTGGACGAGCAGGGTTGGTTCCAGCATAATGAGACCTTCTCAGCTGGTGGGCACCCCAAAACCCCCAAAAATCCCATAAATCCTTGGGGTGGGGTTCTAAATCCTTCTGGAATCCCAAAAATCCCCAAATTCCTTTGGGGTGGGGCCCTAAATTCTTTTGGAATCCCAAAAATCCCATAAATCCTTTGTGGAGGGGTCCTACATCCTTTTGGGATCCCCTAAATCCCATAAATCCTCGGGGTGGGTACTCCAGACCCATTTGGGACCCCCACCCCTGAAACCCCCAGACCATTTGGGGACCCCAATCCCAAAGCTCCCAGACCCTTCAGGGACCCCCCAGACTCTGAAGCTCCCAGACCCTTTGGAATCCCCTAGGCCCTTTTGGTATCCCCAACCCCTGAAACGCCCTGACCCTTTTGGGACCCCCAGCTCCTTTTGGGACCCCCTGACCCTTTAGACACCCCCACCCCTTTTGGGACCCCTAGGCCCTTTTGGGACTCCCTGACCCTTTAGAGATCCCCAGCCCTTTTGGGACCCCCGACCCTTTGTGGTGGGGCGGTGCTGACGCCCCCTCCCCACAGGGCAGCGGCTGTGCCTGGGGGAGGCGCTGGTGCGGGCAGAGCTGTTCCTGTTCCTGACCTCGCTGCTGCAGCGCCTGCAGCCGCGACCCCCGGCACCCCCCGAGGAGCTGCCCACAGCCCCCCTGGAGAGCGGCTGTGCCAACATCCTGCCCCCCTTCTAGCCCCTCCTGCTGCCCCAATGAGACCCCT